CTTGTACTATGATCTTGGTCTACCCCATAGAGATGCAACTGATGATCAAGTAACTATAGATGCTGCAGAAGCTACATTAAAACATAATGTGGGCATTAAATGTGCAACAATAACRCCAGAYGAAGCTCGTGTTGAAGGTATAAAAACGCTTAATATTGTAATTAAACTTTATAAAACTATTGATTAATTAAGTACTTGTATTTTATAGAATTTAAATTGAAAAAAATGTGGCTCAGTCCTAATGGCACAATTCGTAATATTCTTGGCGGAACAGTTTTTAGAGAACCAATTATATGTAAGACWATTCCTAGACTGGTCCCTGGTTGGACCAAACCTATTGTTATTGGTAGACATGCACATGGTGATCAATACAAAGCTACTGATTACATAGTTAATAGGCCGGGCCAAGTAAGTAATTAGGTACTAATTTGAACTATTGGCTATCTCCTAATATGTGATACATACAATGTCATATACCAATTGCATTTTGGTTTACAGTTAAAATAATATTAAGTATGACTTAATAGATTAAAATGAAAATTATTTAATTATTATTGATAACTGCTGATTCTGACTGCATACTAAGAGTTAGCTGGACTATTTGTGGTAAAACACAATAATAATGAGTATRATTATTTTTGATTGTTTAGTTGGAATTAGTTTTTACTGATCACAAAGGACAAGTAGAAAAGCTTAAGGTGTTTGATTTCAAATCCCCTGGTGTTGCAATGGCCATGTATAATTTGGATGACTCAATAGCTTCATTTGCTCACTCCAGTTTTCAAGTTTGTTTAAGCAAATAATTATACATACATTTTGTCAATTATTTTTAATTATAATTATTTATTAGTATTATAAAATGTTTATAAAAAGGTGGCTTTGTTGAAAAAATGGCCGCTTTATTTATCTACAAAAAATACCATTCTCAAAAAATATGATGGAAGATTTAAAGACATTTTCCAAGATATTTTTGAAAAGTAAGTTTGATATAGTGTGCCTTATTTTATGAATTGAATTGTAATTTAACTATTATAACCAGAAACTACAAGTCTCAATTTAAAGAAGCTAATATTTGGTATGAACATCGTTTGATTGATGACATGGTAGCTCAAGCATTAAAAGGGGATGGCGGTTTTGTATGGGCATGCAAAAACTATGATGGAGATGTCATGTCTGATATTATTGCTCAGGGATATGGTTTNTTTTTTTTATATGTTTGATATTCAACTTTAGGGATAGAAATTGGATCTAGTCGGTACTTTTGAGAATTAACATTTTGAATTTAACACGTCCATTAGAGTGACTCAAGACCAACTCAGCAGCAGAGGTGCAGAGCGGTACTCACTTGCCTACCTTTCTTTTGTATACCGTCGAGTAATAATGGTAAAAATAGTTATCTTTTCGTAATATATTCTTATTTCTTAGACATGCATATTGCATAATAATTAATATTAATATAATATTTATTATTTACGTACCTACCTACTTTGTTTTTATTAATTGCTATCTGTAAGATTTCCAATCAATGTTAATGGTTGTAAGCTGTTAATTCCTGAATACGATATTTTTATTAAGTAAAACACAAAAGCGTCGACAGAGAAAAATSATAACTTATAAGGTATGCAATCAACCCGTTGTATTATTCCACTCAGAATCATTAAATGTTATTAAATTCATGTCTGTGGACTGGCTCCTAAACATTTTATATACCAGATACCAGATGGAGGTACCATTATCTTATACGATACCGCTGACGAAAACCTAACCACTTAGGTAGAAAATGTATTAGGTAGGTAGGTACTTAGGTATAAATTTATACATAGATAGGAATAATTGCTAGGTGTTTGCTTAATTTATCAATTTTTCTGAAGTCATAATAATATTTCAACTTCATTCAATTCATATTTAGTAACGTTTTTAATTTTATTCTGTACTTTTGTACCACCTTCTGATTAATAGTCATATCATTGATTTTAATATCAATGGTTATAATTTATTACCTATGATGCTCACCCAATTGACGACAGTCAATTTTTATCGTTTATATTTTCAACTAAAAATTAAAATGCTGTACAAAATTATTGGTTCGAGCGGAGTCCAACGTAATCATTTATCGCTTTCGACGAGTGTCACTCATGCAGTCATGCCGCGGCCGCGCAGCGCGCAGGTCACACTGGTCTTGTCTATAACGCGTTATCAACTCGGACGTTGGATCAAAACAATAACAATACTATCATATTATCGCCATGATTTAACACTGTTGAACGAATCGAAATCCGAACTCCAAAGTAGTAATAATAATAATAATAGTAAGAAATTCAATTATATTATTCAACCAGTGTATTCAACAGACTTCGGAATTAGACTATCGGAGTTGTTGTTGACTATCACCACGGCCACCGAGGCGCCGAGTGCAGACTGCCGACACTAGTACACTACGATCCACAGTCGGGCCAGTCGGCCAATTCGTTTGTCTCGTGTTTGACGTAAACTTCTTTCTGGTTCTAGTCATCCTAGACTAGGATTTTTATACCTACGTTGTATCAAACAAATTGACAGGACCATGGCGAAGAAGTTGTTGGGATTGACTGCTGGACTCGCCAAGTCTACATGTTTGGCTCGTAACCG